TTCTGAGAAGTGAAAGAACCGGGGCTGCTTTTTATGTCTAGGAATGAAGGAAAGTTGTGAAAACTTTTTTTAGTCTGTGTTTTTATATCAGTTTTCAAATAGAGCTGAAGAAAGGAAAGAAGAGGCAGGGATGTGTAAGAATGTGTGATAAAAAAAACAGGGAGAAAAAACTAAAACCGAGTTTTAAAATATGCATCCAGTGTGCTCTTTGCAGTGGTAACACTGCATAATAAGGTCTTGTCATTTAATGTATTGTAAAGGGTTTTTACAACATTAAGCTTTGTTAATGAGAACTTCCATATTCATTTTAGTTCACTGTGCATTTACTGTTAACAGACACAACTTGTTTGTCTTCAAGGTGCAGTATGTAAGTTTGACACCCAGTGGTTGAACTAGGTATTGCACACCTGGTTCAAAACACATGCAAGCACAGGTTGTCAGATTGACGGCAACCAACAGAAGTGTGCCTGACTGTCAAGCCTAAAGGCTGATTGAAGTCCTGTTCTACATAAAAGCAACGGCATGCAATAGAAGGAATAGTTTTCATACTAAAAGGAGTTTTTGTCCAAACAAACACCTGAAATTTATATTTTAGAAACGGCTTTGATTTATTTCAGCTGAACAACAGGATAAACTGACAATGATCACCTCAGGAACACCTCATGTGCTTTATTCAGTGTTCAATGCTAATAATGTGAGTTTGAATGCCATTTTACATGACGTTTACTGTCATACTACTAAAAGCAGCAGCAGATAGTTCACCTAAGATCTTGAAAATGAAGTAAACTGTTTAAAATTGAACTTGAGAACTGAGACTAGGTGCAAAGCAACACATATCAGTGATTCAGCATGTGCATTTAATAATGTTAAAGAGGTTTAAAATGTATTAATTAGATGATTGACCTTACCATTTTGTTGGAGTGCAGTGAGTGCACTATTCTGTGCTTTTAAATGGCTGTATTTAATTTTCTGTTGTGTTTATGACGTGCTTATCGCTGGAAAATTGTCAGGTAGCATGTTGTTCGGACACAGGATTACAATGTAACCTGCTCACCTGATGTTTACATTCATAATATTTATATTATTTTCTAATTATAACCACCTAATGTGGAATTCTGAATCTGTGTCTCATTTCAGAGGCTGCTACTGTCCACCAGAGGTCATATTTCAGTCACAGATACACACTTTGAGAGCCTGACTGAATGAATTACACTGTTTTCCACCAAGTCAATCCGGGGTGCTGAAATATAATTAGCTAAACTGGCATTGGGCAGGCTGAAGGGACCAAAACAAAGACAGACGTATTGGCATGTGAGTATCCGACTATAGCATTGTTTTTAAGACAAGTATGATCACTTAGCATGTTTCTTAAATATCTGCAATATTATGGTATTTTTATGCTTAAGAAGAGTAAAAAAAACTTTCATACAGCACATTTGATCTTAAAATGTGTTTGTACATTTGAGGTTAACATTATCTAAGGTTCATTATTAGCTCAGTAATTTTAACAAATATTCTTGCTTATTAAAAAATAGACTACGTAAACTGTTATGTCGTGTAAAATGTTATATTATTGCATTAATGCATGTATGTATAAATCTTAATAGAAATAATGTTTTTTAAGATTTTTGAGTTTTTATTTAGTTTTGTAAAATTGTATTCATTGTACAACAATTAAAAGTATGAAGTAAAATTTATCACTTAAAATGTTCAAAAGATACATTTAAAAGTGCCTTTTTTTCCTATACCAACAAGACAGTTGTACCATTCAGGATTTAAATTTCACAAATAAATGTAAACGTATTTTAAACAGTAAAAAATCTCATCAGCCCCTCAAAAAAAAAAAACTGAAAACTGAAAATCACAAGTCATAATTCAGTCCTAATAGCTTTTCCTGACACTCTGTTGCCGCGCCGCTGAACCTCCCAACAACAGGTGCAATCTGCCTTCAGAATTGAGCACATTTCAGTGCACGTCTGAGCGAGGCAGACGCCCGGTTTGTGTACTGAAGAATTATTGACGCCGGCTAGACGCTGACCTCTGAAGACAAACTGGCTCGCTGAGAATGAAAATGCTGCATTAGCGCAGAATGATTATTCGGACCGGCATGATTCATCCAAGTCAAGTGACATAAACCACAATGTCTTGGGGAAAAAAAGCATCCTGTCTCCTGCTGAGTCCCCAAACAAATAAAACTGTCTTGTCGGCGGATTAAACGCACCACATCTTCACCAAAAACTCAGGTCCAGAGCGAGGTGACTAATAGATTTATCTCAGGGCTCATAAAGAGGAGGCTGCCGCTCCGTTAAACAGAGCAATATCTTGAGCTTCAAAGCCAGACAATTACTCTTTCTTCTGCTCTCGTTGCCCGTCCTCCACAGCTTTTAAGGAAGCAACAAATAGTGGACACAGGGAATCCCTCCCTGGTGGAGGAAGAGCAGCGGGACCCTCCTCTCTCCTAAAGCCTGTCTGAAAAAAGCTGCTGACCCGTTTCTTTTCTGGTGCTGGGGATTTGTTTGAGAAGCACATTCCAAATTCATCATAATACAAACAGATCTGGACAGGCTTCCTGGAAAAAGTGCAGAAGAGGCAGGCGGGAGCTTCTGGAAGAATGTGCATGCGGACACTGCGAGGGAGTGCGTTTAATAATGTGGGGAGTACCAACTAAAGGCTTTTTATGACTTTTGTATCTCCTGGGATTCTGATCGGCTTTTTTGTTGAAGGGGCTCATATTGTGCTCCTTTTTATAAGATGCCAAATAAATCGGTAATGTTTGCAGACTGTATCTGTAAAGTTTAAGCTCAAAATACCCCACAGATCATTTATTTCAGCTTGTCAAAGTTGCACTTCTTTGATTGTGTGCAAAAACCAATGCAATCTCACGACGATAACTTTTTGATTTAGTGGCTAATTCATATTTGTATAATTTAATTTGTACAATTTGCTGATCTCCCAATGGCGGTTGGGTTCAGGGATGGGGCTGGGAACTAGCCACTAAACTGACAAAGCATAAAATACTTAAGTTTTCTTGTTAGATCAGACTGGCAACATTTCTTTAAATGCAAATGAGCTGGTGATTTTGAGGAGAGGCCAGATTCTAAATCTGAATCTCATGCAACCAAGTTGTTAGAAATGAGTGTATTAGGCAACAATGTAGCCAAAAACAAAAGATTTTCTCTTGCGTTTTAAAAAATGTTTCACATCTACACAAAATTGTTTAAATTATCTGCTTGTACACGTCTGTAAAAAGGTCAAAAATGCGGTATTTTGTATGTCAGGCCAGTATTTAGCTCTGGTACTTGTAAACAGCACCTGTAGGGAAGTGATGATGTGTTGTTGGCGGTAGAATTTGCCATCTCTGTTTGGTAGTCTGATATCGCTGTTGGTTTTAATGTGTGTAATGTGTAATTGTTGTTTGTTTGTTTGTCCCTGCTTTTAATCTACACCTCCCTAAACATATCCTATGCGTGCAAGACACCATCTTTTTCAAAGACTTTCATTTTCAAAAACCTAAAAACACCATACATTTATCTGTTTTTTCAGCCACAAAAACACAATTGTTGTGTAAACAAACAGGCATTTTATTAAAAAAAGCAGACTAATGTAAAAAAAGAGAAAAATATATAAATAAATAAAGGCAGAAAAAGGCTTTACCAAAACAAAATTACTAGTTTGTCATTTTTCATTTTTTTTTTTTTTCTGGGTTAGTAGATGAACCGAGGTACTGAGTTTGGGTGGGAATCTTTAAGGATTTTACTATCCAGTACTAATTCTGATTTTGGAAGCCATGATTCAATATTGAAAACAATTCTTTACCTACAATTGTCCTATCCGCTTGTTAAGTCGTGACATATCGGTGATGTATGGAATACTGTTTCCAGTTCCAAGCCGCTACTCATTTGAATTAAGAAAATATTTGTTTATGGCCACTTTTTAGTCATGTCACACATTAAACTGACTTTTATCTAAAAATCACAGTGTACGCATCAGTCTCTGGGCTTGCTGCATCACAGACACCAATATTTAACAATGTATGAGTCTCCCCATACAGTTTGATATAGAGATTGGAGTCGGAAGCCCCTTTGCGTGACGTCACACTTAACAAGCGGATTTCTACAGCTGTGCAAAAACATCATTCTAACTTCAAATGTTACCAGAATTGTAGTATATATGCTTTTGTTTATGGTTAAAAAAAACTCCCTTTCATTTCAAGTTTATGTTTGCAGAACACAAGCTGCAAACTTCTACTTATCTTTCCATAATGGTGACATGGTTGTGTTGTAATCTGCACGTTAAGTCTAACGTCAAGCAAAGTTGTCATAAACAAATATTTTCTCAATTCAAATGAGTAACGGCTTGGACCCGAAAACAGTATTCCATAAGTCACGACTTAACTAGCAGATCAGTGTCCATGCATCATGTCCATGTCCATTCCCTTTGGGACCGTGACACAGCATCTTTAAAATTCATAGGTTTATCCAAATCTTTGTCCAAAGAAAGCAACCTTGGCAGCACATGTACAAGTACCTGTCGACATTTAATTTTTTTTCTGTTTCTAGCTCATGTACACCACCGCAATCTAATTTGAATAAAGAATCAATTCTGAACTTTCGAGAATCTTTTCAGAATCATTAGAGGTAGAATTGCGATGCATCAATGAATCGATTTTTTTTCCCTGCTGACAAGCATTTTATCAAGATTTGCATCACATGTCCCATTTAATGTAGCTCTTACACAATGTGACATTTGTGTTTGTGTGTGTGTGTGTGTGTATGTGTGTGTGTGTTTCCAAAAATAACCAAGCAATGGGACGTGCCATTAAAATCTGTTGACAGTGCAGGTTGAGACAGCATGAGCTGATGGTGGAGAGTCCCTTTTCATTTCCAAAAACCTTTTGTCGGATTTTTCAGAGAATGAGCCGTTCGAGACTGTAAATCTTGTTGGACCTCAAACTATATAAAGGTCAGAGAAGATGTGACAGTCTTACCTGATTTGTGAGCTCAGAGGATCATTTCTTCCACAACGGTGCGTGCTGATTGGTCCATGTCATCTTTAATGATGGATAAACAGCGGCGTGCTAATGCTTGCTGCCGAGCGTCTTCCTGGACCATTAGCTCTCCGTACAAATACACACCCATAGCCTGCCACACACAAACACACACGTTAGAATCAGGACTTGCTCTTTATTGAGTGAGAGTTGTGTTCTTAAACCTAAACTACCTACATAGGCAGCTAACTTCCATGGCAGCTTCTTTAGCAAGATAAAACCTTATACATGAATAATAATAAAAAAAATGCTCAAATACACTTTAATTTATAAATATAACAATAAACTAAAATAAAAAAAAATGAATTGCTGTTTAAACTTTGGGGTCAGCTGTTCAGAAAGGCTTTTTATTAACAATAATTCTCTCTAAATTACAAAATGTTAACTTTTAATTTGGATGAAATGTTATTAATAGTTCATGAAAATAAAACAAAAACATTTTTTTTTTACTCAAGCACATAAATAAATTGACGTTTAAAGTCTTTTTGTTTTAACATTTATTTTCATTTTCAATACAACATGATACCACTGTCTGAACAGTGTAAGAAGTTTACCTTTCCTAATAACACATTAAAGCAGTGGTTCCCAACATTTTATCACCACAAACTGGTCAACGCTTGACAGTTTTACCACAGACCCTTGGGGGGGGGGGGGGGGGGGGGGGTATGGGGTGCGCCTACTAATATGCGTGCGCCTACATTGGAAATAGCAAATTTGTGCACTGAAAGACACGACAGCTAGTGCTTTGCAACTCTCATATGGTTGCCCACTGAAGCTAAGCACAGCTGCGCCTTGTCAGTACCTGGATGGAAGACCACATAGGTAAGCTAGGTTGCTGCCGGAAGTGGTCTTAGTGATGCCAGCAGGGGGCACTCAACCTGTGATCTGTGTGGGTCCTAACGCCCCAGTAGATTGATGGGGACTCTTTACTGCTCAGTGAACGCCGTCTTTCTGATGAGACGTTAAACCGAGGTCCTGACTCTCTGTGATCGTTAAAAATCCCAAGATGTCCTTTGAAAAAGAGTAGGGGTTTAACCCCTGCATCCTGGCCAAATTTGCCCACTGGCTTCTAACTATACCCTTCTTACTATGCCCATATCATAATTGGCTTCATCACTCTGTCTCCTCTACATCAATCAGCTGGTGTGTGGTGTGCAGTCTGGCACAATATGGCTGCCGTCTTTTCATCCAGGTGAACCCTGCACACTGGTGGTGGATGAGGAGATTCCCTCCATGTGTAAAGCGATTTGAGTGTCCAGAAAAAGCGCTATACAAATGTAAGGAAATATTATGTGAATGGCCCCAAGGCTGCCATCATTTGCGATCTCCAGCAGTTGAACAACTGACATGCTGGATTCACCTGATTTATTGACAAATAGATTGTGGAACCATTTCTTGGCAATTAGAGGGTCCTTCACTGGGCCTTTTCCTTTTTGCAAAGAAACCTTCACAAAGTTCTTACTCATTTTACTAGCTTGTGGGTTAAATTTTGGCCATAAAGTAACCGAGATGTAATTGAGAAAATAAGCTCATGTTTCACAATAAAGGATTGTTAATACTCAGAAAAATAACATAGTGTTTAAATGAAACATAACAATTACAAAATATTTAAATAAAAAAACACAACGAACTGTTAATAAAAGAAAAACTACAAAAGTTACTTGGAAATACTCAACAACTACTAAATAACACTGCTTCTTTGTAAACAACACACATGATTCTGCCTTAGAATTTGCCAAAATAATAAAAAAAAAAGCAAAATAAATGTAAACAAATTAAGCAGACTACTTGTTATAAACATGCCTCCAATAAAGGCAGCTCATTAGTTGTGAAATGAACGTGCTCTGGAATAAGTCATGTACCTGGTCATGGATCAGAAAGAGCTCAACGTCTCGGTATGCGGCGGTGTGTTTATGCTTGACCGCAAGTTCACACCAGCGATGTTTCACCTAACAAGAAAGAGACAGATAGAAAGTGATTAAACCCAGATGAAAGCGGCCCAACAGCTCACGGGACGTCACCACCTGCGGGCATCGCACGCATTGGGGGAAATCAGTGCGAGCGCGTGACTCTGTGGTTGTTATCAGTGTGTTCTTAACACAGAGGTGTGCGCTCTGTTTATGTGTGATGTGTGTAAATGAAGACAGTGTTAAAGCGGAGAGATCACAGACTGGCTCTGTCTTCCTCTTCTTGCTCTCCGCCGTCATTCAACTGAACACGACCCAAAAACCTGACCTCATCCACGCCTCGGAGATCTCATTACACTGCTGTATCACTCACACACACACACACACACTCCACGCTTGGAGGAGTCATGACTGTTTTAAAAGGAGGATTGTTCATGTTCAGGACAAACTCTGTAGCATGTGTGGCATAATGTTGCTCTTGGAGAAAAAAGAGGTGCTTTTGCAGTGATAAACAGTATAGAAGATTGATGTTTAGTTCCTTGAAAAACATTTCAACAACTCTTGAAAGAACATTTCACTAATTGGTTTAAATTTCACAAAGGTATTTCACTTATAGCAGTGATGCCCAAACTAGGGCCCACAGGCCAGAGTTTGCCCTTTGTATCCTTTGATTTGGCCCCCCAGATGGAAAATGATTGAGAAGGGTTAAGGAATGCCTTTAACAGAGATTCTTATTTATATTTAATATAACCTTTTGTTTGTCTATATTGTTAAGTGAAAAGAAAAGCTAACTGAGATGAAACGTTTTAATTAAATGTTGTAAAGAAATCAGATTAAAAAAGTGTATTTTTTCTCTACGAATAGGGGACAAAGCAGAAGAATTTTGCCTTGCAAATCAGGGCAAAGGCATGCTGAACGCATGACTATTGTATTCGGCTTTGAGCTCCATTGTTTTATAAATGGTATTTTTTATATAGATTTATATGAAATAGGTTTGTTAAAAAATTAAAATGCATTAGTAAATAAGTTTTTTTTTTCTATTATTTTATTTTATGAAATAATTTAGGAAATTACCAATGGCAATCTTACTGTAATATAGTTTGCAATGTTTACTTTCGGCCCAAAGCTCTAAATCAAGCTTGGATTTTGGCCCTTCATAAGAAAAAGGTTGTGCACCCCTACTTTATAAAGCACAATAGTCCAGACATAATAACCATAAAAATCTTCCAGACATAATAACTGTATTCATTTCTCCATAAACTCTACAAATTGGGTCAAATATGGACAAACTCAACATTGGGTTACATTTGTTTTCCATTAATTACACATTTTGTGAAGCCATCTGTTAATATAATTCAAAACATAATTGATGCTGTACAGAAAATTCCACCAACCAGATCGATCTTTAGCTCTTAACCCACACCCAAGAAGCACGTTACAATCTATTCTGTAAGGTTTCAGAATACTTAAACATGTATATTTGCATAATTTGTTTTAAAAGTAATGCATTTTTTTATAGATGCAATAAATAACTATAAATGCATGTTTTAATGAAACTGTTGTTCACAACATTTCTTAAGATCAAAGTTCTTTCCATCATTTAATCCATGAAGTGCACAGTCAATTAGATTTTTTTTTACTCAAACTCACGTAAATTGTTGTTCAAAACCTTTTTTTAGACATTTATTTTCATTTTTATACAACACGATAAATATGTCTGAACAGTGTAAGAGGTTTACATTTTTGGTAAAATAACAGCATAGCACAACAACAGGAAGGGGGGTAGATTTCTAGGCAACCAACAACCATTTTCTCAGAGTATGACAAGCTGACAAAACATTGCTGCAGCCCTGATACAAGTCTTATTTGGAAGGTACGGGTGCGTCGCTTCTTATGCGTGCGCCTCCATTGAAAATAACAAATTCATGCGCGGAAGAGACGCGATAGCTAGCTCTCTGCAACTGTCACATGGTCATTCACTGAAGCTAAGCAGGGCTGTGGCCGATCAGTACCTGAATGGGAGACCACATGGGAAAGCTAGGCTGCTAGGTTTTTGCTAGGCTGCTAGGTTTTTAATGGTTTGTGGCAATCGGTTTCCTCAAACAGTTTGAGTTGCCTTAACTTATTGGGTTTTACAGTACTCAGTTGGCTTACGTTCTCTTTATTGGGTTCTACTGTACTCAGATTGCTTCGTTTACTCAAATGGATCAAGTTCACAGTATCATAAGGATTAGTTTTTGAACTTAAATGGTTTGTTGCAATCGGTTTCCTCAAATGATTTGAGTTACCCTAACTTTTTGGCTTTTACAGTGTGCTTGATACCCCATAAAAAATTTAAGTGCCATTTAAAACAGAAAAGAAGCAGGTGGATTTGCTAGAATGCACATTTTGAAACTCAACATTTGTGCAATCGAGGCATATTAGGAAACTTTGGATAAAAATATTCACATCAACACAATCACTTTATTTAGCGTTGGATTTTGAAATGATTAATCAGAATGGGTTCATTACAACTGCAACTTTCCACATAAACAGCTACTAACATGGATTTGCATGTTTACAACTATAAAGCTGCTCACTTTAAAGAAACCTACAGAATAAAGTATTAAAAAACACTCTCTAATTGGATGTTTTCTTTGTCAATTTAGTTGTATTCATTTTGTTATCTAGAGAAAAACATAATTTACATAATCATCTAAATGTCGCTTTAGCTGAAGAGTTATTACAAACGTATTTTACTTCAATACAAAGACTAAAATCTATTTATTTCATTTATTAATCAACAACCCTCAAACTAGCTTTAATTGGTTGTCCCTTCGGCAGTTGTTATAGCTTTATAGGTGTTGTGACTGTATCAGTGCCTCTAACTAGATTTGTGCATATTTGAAGGTGAAAAAAAACGGATGAGTTGAAAGGATTTTTTATGCTAATTAACATTTCTGCCACAAAAGCTTTTAATTTTGCTTAAGTGAATCTCCGGATTCATGGGTCGGACCCGATAGTTCTGCATCATAATAAGCCCGTTAGCGATGCTAAGCAGAATCGGTGTTCTCGTTTGCTCTCTCTGGGCCTCTGTGCGGCGCAGCAGGGGTTTAATTGAAGCTGAATGGCTGGCAGCTCATGGGGGCCCGAAGGTGGAGGCAGTTCAATGATTAATGAAGTAAGATTGTGCGAGTGTGTGTACAAGCGTGTGAGAATGTTTGCTTTAAGACGAGGTGTGAAGTGACTCAGGAAAACAACAGGAAGCGGCGGCCCTGCAAAGAGCCTTCCGGTCACAAATCAGCCTCTATTTAAGCAGCATGTTCAAATGTCACATCCAGTTTACCAGGAACGAGCTTTTTCGCTGTCTTTCCTGCCGACACCATTAACTCCCCTCTGTCCTCACCTGTCTGCAAAGCTTATTTCAACAGAGCTGCTGCATTGTTTGTTGCTTTCTTCTTTTATCTTTTAAGTGTCAGACGTGCTGTCGTGGGTTTTCCAATCAATTGTGTTTCATGCAAAAGTTCTCAGTTGTGATTTCCGTCTCAACTGTTCCGACTGTGGTTTCACTTCACATCTCAGTGCGCGGATAAAATTAACACTCGCCAATTGCTATATGCAAATACAAAAAGGTGCTTTAGTGTGTAGATGATACTTTACATAACATACTGTGTGATTTGAAATGATTTGAGTCTAACATAAATGAATGAAATCTTAGCGTATAAATGCTCTACTTGAAAAAAGGCCAGGGTCTGCTGCACATCTAATAAATTCAACAGTACTATACTGGCAGAATGTAATGTCTATATAAATGGTGTGAGCAAATATATCAACAGATTGGAAATATATTGTAACATATTAAAATTTGAAACAATATATATATTTTTTATTGACTTTGTGATTAAGCTACACTTAAAAAAAAGGTGGTGATGTTGTAAGGCATTTGGGCAGATATGGACAAAAGTTTAGTTCAACTAGGGCTGGGCGAAATTGCAAAAACATTATCACGATATCATGTTTCATATCATTCAACATCCATAATTATTGAATAAGTTTTTAACAATCCATTTAGGAATATTAGGATTTTTTTATTTAACCACTTTATTTTAATTTACCAACATTACTAAGGTTTTAATGGTCAAAAAAATATAAACAAAATATCTGATCTCTTTGTGATAAAATAAACATAAGAGTTTAAGAGACTCTTAAACTTGATAAATAAAATGTTACAAAGTGTGTGCAGTGTTGAAGTGTAAATGCTAAACAATTAAAGCAAACTATAAGGTGTGATAAATAATGATACAGTAAACCTCAAACTCTGTTAACAACACAATTTATGATCATCAAATCTGAGCTTTCAAGTAAAGGAACCAACCATAGTTATTCAAATACATACTGCAACATTACAAATTTTGAAGTTGAATGACTATATTCCCCCCTATGCTAAAAAATCTTTGAGATGTGGTGCAAGTGGCTGGGATGCACAAGAAAAGAAACCAAAAAGCCACTCTGCAATTTTCGCATGTGTTGTTATTCTGATCTGAAATGACAAGCGTGTGCGCGTGGATTCCTTGACCATTTACAATGGTGACCATCAACCATTTCCTTAGAAAATGACAAATGGACAAACCATTGCTGCAGCTCTGATGCAAGTTTATGGAGAAAAGTAAAAAGTGTTGCAGTGTTTGGGCGCGCTGTGTTTGGCTAAGGTAATTAGTCTGCCATTACTATTGAAATATGTATATTTCACACAAAGTGTGAAGCAGATTGGTTAGTTCTACTTATATGAATTGTGGTGCACTCGCAGCATTCTAAAGAGTTCAAATGTTTTTTAACTAGCTGTGGCTGGAAAATGCACATGGTCCATGTGCGTGCCGCTTACACAACATGTGCGTTCCGCTCCCGTATGCCTGTCGTACAAGTCCCGTGCCTTAATTGGAAATGACAAACTTACACCCCAAGCTTATTGGCACTGCTTCCAAGTCGCGCGCTCAGCAGCCACATTTTATTAAAACTGTAGCGCTTCATACCAAAACTACATGCAGAAACTTTCATTTAATTGA